GTTACATTGCGCGCTCTCGCGTTGTTGAGTACAGTATTCGGCTGCAACATCTACAGGTACAGGCCGCACAGTTGCAAGTTCCAGCGGCGCAAGGGGCTGCAGAATCTGATCACACTGATGCACTACCTCTGGCTGCGTCCGTGGATAGTCCTGACTGGGATTCTATATCTGCCTTGGTTTCTGATGCGCCTGCTAATTTTCATATCGCACAACACTGAAGATGACAGAGCTCTAGTGGTGATGTACTTTTCGAGTGCTCTGCTCTGCAAGTATCAGAATTTGATAGCAACCTTATTGATATTGTATATCTACAAATACCGCCTGAAGTGCGTTGATCGAGTTCTAAACGGCTTTGCGGCAATACATAAAAGATATTGGCGGCTCTATGGCTGTGCACCGCGCATCAACTGGTCGCTCTTTGGGATCTATGTGCTGGAGTTGCTTATGGTCGGTGGCTTGGTGATAAAGGAAAACACCTTCAGTCATATACCCTATGTAGTGCCTCACTCACCCATAGATAAATATCTGAGTTGGACTTCCGTGCTCTTCGTGGCTCTGCAGCCCTTCCTCCTGGGTCTCTTGGCTCACTTGGGCCTGCTGCTGCTGCACGCCTACTACGATAAGGAACTGCAATTCATGCAGGAACAAAAACATCGCAGCAATATCATCGCTAAGGAGCAGGTGCAACACTATGTGAATTTGATGCATTTGAGGCATCATTTCGAAGTGCTCTTGCGCCCCTTTGTGTGGGTGGCCCTAAGCCGGCAAATCAATGACTGCATGATTAGTTTGCATCTGTTGCTTTATGATCATCATAGACTGGGTTTCCTGCTCTACCAACTATGTTTTGCTCTGCTCTATCCCATGTGCTTTGTGTACCAGACGATATTCATCAAGTCGGCGGAGAAACGACTCGGTAACGAATTGCTTAGGTTCAAAAACAACGGCACCAGACAGCAGCAGGTGCGTTGTCTTTGAGCTTATATTTGAGTTGACTGAGATTTCTATACGTTTCACTCTTGCAGCTACAAATGTTTTGTCTTTACAAGCTGGTTTTGTGTTACGTCTGGACTGATAGTTCCTTTGATACATTCAATCTGAATCGCAGTCATATCCTTGAGTGCATGACGTATAGCTGGATCTGGGCCATGTTTACCAATAGCCTTCTGGTTAACTCACCCAAGGCCTGGCAGCAACACTATGAATATATTAAGCAACAAGCTCATTATTAATTACAATTTTTTTTTAAAAGTATCAATATGTACAATTTTTTTTTTTTATTTAGTAGATTTCAGAGTTATTTAAAAATTATTATATATATTATTTAAAAACTTTTGACAGTGTTTAGAAAACTTGCATTAGGCCATTAAATGAAAACCAAGAATATCTATTTGTATCTATAATTTAATAATTTTATTTATATAAAAAAAAAAAATTATAAATCTTTTGTTTTAATTTCTTTTTATTTTTTAAATAAATATATTTTAAAACTATTATATTAAAAAAATATTTATCAAAACTGTTTGCAAGTCTTACCTTTAAGTAATTAACTATTCATAAGTTATACATTTCTATATTTGTAAGGTATTTCCCATTATATACATCATATATATATTTAACAAACTTTAAAATAAACAAGATTTAGAGTTCATAGAACTTTGTATATATATAAATAAACAATTACCTAATTATGCCAAGTTCACAAACTTACGTCTTGCATAATGATAAGTGTAAGCTTTTGTAGCTCATAGATCAGCCGCATAGCTATAAAAATCGCACATGCTGGCATCTCATTATACAACATATTTTAAACAGATATACAGACTATGGAAGAGACAAATTCAGTGAAGCTTTTGCCTAAAATTATATTCCATACGTTTCATCTCTCTTTCAGACACACCTTTTACATTGATAATACCCAAAATCGATGTGCGCAGCATTGAGAAGCCGCGCTTGAAGGAATTCATGTTGGAGCATTTGGTGCCGGGCAAAGTCTTTGATAGCTACAATGCCCTTGCCAATGGCAGAGAGGAGGAGGAGTCATATGGTAATGGCAACGGACATAAAATCGTTTTTCGCAAATTGGAAAAGTCCCATAACAATGTTTGGCTACTCAACGGACAGCAAATACTCTACAAACTGCGTATCAATGAGCAATTGATGGTCATTGGAATTGATGGCTATTTGGGTGATAGAAAATCACCCTACTCCAAGCGCAACATACAGGAAACGAACAAGTGAGTAAACCAACCGAAGGCTGTGCAATCAGCATGTCCATGCACTGAGCGAAATGTGTGTGTGGTTTTATTTTGTTACATTAGAATTTCTGAAATTCATGAATTTATTTGCTTTTACAAATTATTTTCGATATTGAATATTGAATAATAAAAAAAAAAATAAATAAACAAATATTAATAATTAAATATAAAGAATAAAGAATGTGAATATAAATATATTATAAAATAATAATAATAAATATGAAAATGGTTGTTTTTTAGCAGTAAAAAAAAAAAAATAATTATTTTAAAAATATAAAAATAAATAATAAAATAATAATAACTATGATTATAAATATATAAAAATTAAATTATTTAAAAAATATTAAAATGCATGACTTAATAATAACAATTCAAAAATAATATTTATATATTATTCATTACAAATAAAAATGTAATTAAATTATTGTAAAATATTGTTGTACTAAAAACAATATTAGTCAAATATTAAACATAATTAAATTTAAATAATTTTTAAAAAAAAAAAAACATTCAATCAGAAAGTTTTCAGCTTTTCGCTGAGTGTAGCTCCTAATACCAGTTTGTTTGCGGTCAAAAAGTGCACTCATGCGAAATTTATCAGGCAGTAGGAAAAAAAGTTTTTGTGGCCTCAACTTCTGTCCTCAGTTGCTAACATGCCACCACGTGCTCCACTCTATTGCAGCCGCTACAATGACCCACAGCCGCTGGAAGAGCCAAACATTACGAATGCACATGCCAAAGTGGAGCCCATTATTAAGGAATCAAAGGCGAGTCCATTGATGTCATTTCTGGCCAACATGAAAACAGGCACAAAAGTGTTCCAGCACTTTCTATCGAAATCCAATCTGACACGCATTATGGATGATAATGCCTATACGGTGCTTATACCATCGGACAATGCCTTTCAGCGCTGGCATCCCATCGATTGGGGCTTCTATCCATTCAGTGTGCCGGAGTTCACAGAGAGCGTATTGCGTAATCATTTCCTGCCCATGCAGCGGCCCCTACGCCTCTCCGACGTCAAGAACATGGACCAAATGGTCGTCCATACAATGGGTGGCGAGAATGTCGTCTTCCATGGCCAGCGTGAGTGCTTGAATTTCAATTATTTTTTTGCGCACTAACTGAATTTTCGGGATGTAAATTAACATTGCGACTAATCTTTGACCTCTACGCAGCCACGCCCACTGTGAATAATGTGAGCATTATGTCAGATTATACGCTATCCAATGGCAATCAGGTGTTCATTATATCCGAGGTGTTATTTGTCTCCGAGGCTGTGGTTTCCAAATTGCATCAGGTAAGCCAAACACACACGCACACATATACATACATAGTTTTACACCTATGTACATACATACATGCCACCTTTGATATATGAGCTAAAGCTTAATAAACTTGCCACAGATGCACAAGGATAAGGAGACACCACCGCTGTTGGCATTCCCGTGGTTCGGCGCACAATTTCTATCGCACTCGTTTCTGGCCTTGGAACGTGATTCGAGATTCACGCAAATTACAAGGTAAACCTGAATACCAATTACAACTTAAGGGCAGTTAAAACTGAGCTGAGCAAAAGACGGCGACATGAAGTAGTTAGAGAATTTAGTAATGAGAGCTCTTGATTTTAGGAAGTAATTAATGCAAGGAATGTTTTGAATATTTAATGATGAAAAACATAACCATATATATAGATATATTTTTAAATTTCGAGAGCAAAGATTATTAATTTTGAGGAGCTAAAAAAACTAGGAAAATATGATTGCAATATTGCAACTCTGAAGCATTGCTCAAAAGAAATTTAATCTATAGATCTAATAAGCGACTTTATAGCCATAAAAACATGAACATCGATTATTCGATTTGGAGAGATGAATCGGTACTCTATCGATAATATACCTATTTTAGGCTGTTTCGATTTCAATATATGTATGTATGTATTTAGAATATAGTTGCATATAAAAAAATTAAATATACTATACTTCATTTTAAATAGATTTCATTTTATATTAAATTCCGAATTTCCTCATGTCTACCCATAGATATCTGAACAATGCGGAAATAGCGCCCCATATTTCCGGCGCAAATTATACGTTCTTCGTGCCTGAGGACAAAGCTTTCGAGAAAATAGGATTCGACAGACTCTCCGATGATGTTATGGCAAGTTCGCTTAATCAATGAATTATACATACCTAAAAGTAATACTAATGCCCACTCTGTAGGCCTCGCAGCGCGGTATTAAGATGTTACTAAACCACTTTGTGCGCGGACGTCTGTACAATCGGGACTTGAGGGATAATGAGGTCTTCGAGACGATTGGCGGTGGCCATTTGAAGATCACACGCAATCCGGGCAGCAATTATACGAGCGTGAACAATGCACAGATTACGGAAAGCGAGGTGTTTGTCTACAATCTGGGCACCATGTACTACATAGACGACATACTCTATTCGCATATGCTGCGCGATCATATTACCAAATCGACCAAAACGAGATCGGATCGAAATGGCGGCGAGGCCGGCGGCGGCGGCGGAGGATCACGGAGCACCATACGACCCAGCGATGTGGAGATTGTGCCCAACGAATTCGAGAGCGAGCACAATGGCGGCGACTATGCCATCCATGGCGACGACGAAGACTTTGAGGATGAGATTATAACGCCAAAAGCGTTGCCCGTCCAAATCTACGAATTACCCAAATAGATTGAGTTCGATTTGGATCGAGTGCTGCGCTAATTTGAAACATATATATACATACATATATCATTTGATCTGAGTGGGATTTTTTGCTATAACATATATATATATTTATGTGGGTGTGTCGACGCACTGCGAGCGTTTTTGTATAGTTCTCAGCTAATTTTTTGTAACGTATTTTTTGTGTCTAGTTAGTTTTTAGTTTTGTCTGTGTAAATTTTAAGTTTAGCATTGAAAACGAGGCGGTGAAACGAAGTATACTACAACAGAAATAATAAAAGAAACAAGAATGGCCACAACTATATATATATATATACACTATATATATATACCTAATCCTAGAGAACTTGTCAGCAACTCCAATGAAGCTTGTAGAACTACGTAGCGACAAATTGCAAAACTAAACAAAAAATACGAAAACTTAGAAACGGAATTTAAACAAAAATTATTACAAAATAAAAATAAATACGAATGATATAAGACAAATTCAATATATACGTATAATAAAATATATATAAATATATATATTTGTGCAATTAGGCGCTCCTTGGGTGTTTTGTGCTTTTTTAAGAGTGAACGTAGAAAACATATCTGCTAAAAGAAAAAACATTTAAATATTATCGGAAGTGTAGCGAAAAACTAAAACATAAATTCCAATTTGTCTTAGCCAAGTGCAATAGTTGTGAAAAATATCGAATATATATAGACACATATATATATATATATATATATATGTATATCTGACAGATATTGTATTTTTTAGTTTATAATAATTATTATTATTATATCTGTATCTGTGTATATGAAACAACAGAAAGAAGCAATGAGAATGAAAACTTGCAATTTTATAATAGTTTGTTAAAATAAAAATAAAACCATAAAAACACAAAAGCAAAACCAAAAAACAAAACAAAATTTGTTTTTCATTTAAACCATTTTTCTAGATATATTTTCTAATATTTTTTATTTTTTTATTTATTTTTTTTTTTTTTATTATTTATTATGAATTAGTTAAACGCAATACATGTAAGTATGCTTAGGATATATATATCTGCATTAATAATGTATATGATTTTTTATGGATTTCTTATGTGTATATATTTTTGTTGTTTGTTGTATATGTTTATGTATATAAGCTTTTAAATAATACCTGTTATACTAATTGACCTAAAAGATAGTTATTGATGGTTCTCTTTTACTCTCTTATTGTGTGCTTCTTCCCTTTGTTTAAAACTTAACGTAAACGAAACGCGTGCAGTTAACAAATGTGAGGCGAGGCGACCCAAAGTAACATATTCTTCTTTGTATATAATTCATATTCGATTGGAAAGGATGTGGGCGTGGTATTGTGGGCAGTGGACTCATTTGCCGTGCCATCAAAAAATAACACAACAATTTTCATATTTGGAACATTTGAAAATTAAATATAAAATGCGTATTGCTTCTAATGCTAAATGTAGAATATAATGTATGTACCTAAGTTCATTGATTTATATATATTGTAATGCATATATAATTTTAGCATGATATGGCGCTTGTGTATTGCATGTGCGTCTCTTCATTCCAAGAGAGAGTGTGTGAGAGAGACAGCTAGAGACATTCATACATATGTATATTTAAAAGTCTAGTGAATATGCTAAATATTCGAGCTCTGGCGGATTATGCGCAATCGTCTCGAATCACAATGTATCAAAGTCTACTGTAAAAGTAGTTTCCATATTTTTTCTTTACTTAATATTTAACTTTTCATTTTTTTGATTTTCGTTTTTTTTTTTTTTTATGCCAATTTGTAATTTTTGTTTGTGAGATCTAATCGTGTGAAATGTGGAGACAAATGGATAACGAAAATTATTTAAGAGGAAAACATACAAAATAACTCAAGTAAAATCGTTAATTTTCAGCTGTACTACTTTCGTTTTCTATAGTCGAATTTCTAATCGTTTGCATCGTTAGAGCTGGCATTGCTGTTGCTAGACGTTGCGGCGTTTGCATTGTTTGTTGCTGTTGTTGGTGCTGCTGCTGCTGCTGGCATTGCTGTTGTTGATGCTGATGCTGTTGTAGTTGTTGTCATCGTTTCAGTCTCGTTATCACTCGCATTTAGGTTTTCCAGCGTCTGCTCAGCATCCGATTCGGCTGCTGCACCGCCCACCGCGCCTTCCAGCTCATCGCACATCTCCATTGCCGTTGGCTGCTTGGGCTTAAAGCTATTGTTGTCTACATTCAGTTCGTAGCTTTTGAAGGGATCCGCAAGCTTGGCCGAATGCTGTGCATTGTGGGATTGCGCCTGAGCTGCGGCACGTTGCATGCGCCGCTGTTGATTGCTGAACGTGGGACTCTCGGAGCGTGCGCGTTGCAACAGCGGTCGCTGCTGACTGTAATTGCCGTCGTATTCGCGCGAGCGTCCAAACTCGAAGCCATTCTGCCACTGCACGTGCACGTTCTCATATGAAGGATCCTCGTGGCGATAGATGCTGCTCGTCTCAGCAGTGCGATTCGGCCGCTTGTCGGCGCCGCAGCGCAGCCGGCTCAGGTTGCTGTGTAGCGGTCGAGCTGTCGGATTCGTTGTATCGCGTCGCATGTTCGCGCTGCTGCCCTGATAGCGCATCATGTCCTGGGGCAGTGTGCCGAGCCCCAGGCGTGGCGTGCCGTACGGATTGGACATTTGCGAGGCCACCGAGGCGGTGTCGCAATTGACGCAATCGCGCGAGAACATAAAGTTAAAGTCAATCACCTGCTGTAGAAGGCAGCAGATTAGGTAAATTGAGCTGATGGAGATGTATATAAAGGCTTACTTTGCACTCGGGTCCCTGGCCAATCCACAGAGGCAGCCACTTGTTGACCAGCAGCCACTGAAGACTGGACTTGGATATGCGGTTCAAGGTGTTGTTGCTGGAATCCGAAGAGCTGCTCGCACGCGCTGCCGTTGCTGCTCCTGCTGCTGGTGCTGCGTTTGTTTTCTTGGATGCTGCACCTGCCGCTGATTTCTCGGCATTGCCGGCAGCTGCACCAGTGCTGGACTCCTTGGACGCTTTGCTTGCAGACTTGACCTTTGGTATAGCGCCTGTGGGTCGCATTGCAGCCGCCGAGCTGCATGCTGCGTCCACGTTCAGCTGTTGCTCCTCAGCGGCGGCTGAGGCTGCTGCGGCTGCAGCTGCGATTACTGCTGTAGCCGGACCAGCCGAAGCCGAGCGAGCTGCACGCTCCATGGACACATTCGGCGTCAGCGGCGAACAGTGATGTGCAGCGGCAACAGCAGCAGCCGTCGTCTTGTATATATTGGTCATGCTCTGTGAATTCTCGCCATGCAGGCAGCTGAAGAACGACGAGGCGCTGTTCTTCACGGGCACCTTCACATTGCTGTAGTCCGCCATGCTCGCGGCTGCGGCAGCTGCAGCGGCGGCGGCAGCAGCAGCTGCACCCGAAACACCAGCACCGCCAACACCAGCAACACCACCGGCACCCCCCACATAGCCCTGGCAATTGGGCACAGTGCAGGTGGCATTCGCCGTGGGCGCTGCTGCACCGCCATTCGCATTCAGCCGTATGTGGCCGACGGTGCCGAAGTGCGAGTGTCCCAGCACTGCGTAGTGGCCGCCCAAATTGTAGTGGTCGATGTTGCCGCAGGAGGAGCTCAGGTGCCGTTCGATGCGTCCGATGCCATGGCCCAGCACATCCAGGCGTGTGTAGAGCGGCACACGACTTGCAGCCGCGGCAGCTGTGGTGCGATAGAGCGGCTCATCGCGTATCTGCTCGTAAATGTTCTCATAGCGCATGGTGCCTGCCGCAGCATAGGGTAGATTATAGCCATCCGTTGATTCAGTGTCGTCGAAGCTGCGCTGTCGCTGACAATT